GGTTGCGCCGATCTCGGACCGCTATTCCTCTCTTAACGAATTTGACAGAATCGTTGTTTGCATGACGTCACACTTGTGCAACTTGTTTACGTTTTCCTTGCAACATTTTTTCTTCTTCCATTCTTGCTCACGTTTTGGCATTTCTCTCTCGCAATTGCACCAGTGTGACGTCACACAAAAGTTATTCTCAAAAATCCTCTCTGATCGGCGCAATCTTGTATTCTATCAATATTGACATGTATGCATATGGAAGAACGAACATTTCCTTACGCTGCAAGATTTGCTGCGATGATTCTTGTGAGGTACAAGTGCTTGTATTAAATGTAAAGAGTAAAGTAACGATACGAAAGATACGGGTGTTGATTGGATTAGTAACGAATACATACGGGTATCCGAAATTTCGTTACTTTTACAGCTCTAACGGCTAATACCACCTTGTTAAATGCGCCTTGGATTTATTGTTAATTGGCTGGCCAAATTAAAATAAGAATAAAAGAAAAAGGTTGTAGTTAAAATATATATAAATTTATTTAAAAAAGGTTTAATCTAAAGTTCCAAATGAAATTATGTTGTTTTCAGCTCAAGGAAAATATTTGAAGTCAGTAAATTTTCTTTTTGATTTACAAACAGCAAAAATCACTTAATTCTAAAATTTCATAATTACAAAGTTAAAAATGAACAAAGTGCAATAAAACTATAAACCCTACAATACTCCCCTTCTATTAATGTTATATAAATTAAAAGTAACTCGTTTCTTGTTTGAGGCTATGTTATTCATTATATTAGTGTTTGTTTCAGGTGTTAGTTCTGTTTCAATGATTGCTGGTTTTAGTCTGTCTATCGGAATTGTTTTAACCTCATTATCCACTTCAAGTTTGAAATATTTTTTGTTTTTTTTTCCACAACCTTATAAGGTCCTTCGTATGGTTGTTGCAATGATCTTTTATTAATAACACGCATAAAAACAAATTTACAAGTCTCCAAATCCTTTGGTATATATACACCAGTATCAGAATTTTGATTATGCTTTAAATTTGAGTTAACATTTTTAAAATGTTCCCGTAAATTACCTAAAACTTCAGTTGGAGAAAAATTTTCTTCAGATGGAACCACAAGTTCACCAGGCATAAATTTTGCCCAAAAACCATCTCAGATGGTATGGCTGAAATACATTCTTTATACATACATCGATAGTAAACCAAGAAGTGTTATCGGTAGCTCATCATACCAATTGTAGGTTATATTTCTAGCCATTATCGTAGCTTTCAACTGCCTATGAAATCGTTCTACCAGAGTGACCGATAAAATTCAGAGGGTTTACGATCAACCATCTCTGAATCTGAGAAAATTGTATCTAATTTTTTATTTTCGCTTAAAGAATGCCTTTCAATTCTTTCTTTAGTTCTGAAAACTTGTTGTTATGCGGAGGATTTTGAATGACATCTAATATCATAACTATGACTTCTTGCGGAAGCGCTGTGATTGTGTGTTCATATTTTGTAGTATCTTGTGTAATGTTTTTCATGTTAAATTGTATTTCTCTATGTACAAACCAAGCTTCTGGACAACTTGTCCAACTTGTTGTGGAAACTTGACTGAGGTTGCATACACCTCATTTTTATTTTGACTAGCATAAGGATTTGCCAACTCCTCTTGCAAAGAGTTGTTTTGCAAATCTATAAGCGAGTCATTTAAATTATTAGTCCGTGTAGATGTTTGTGTATCATGTGGGGGTGAACGAAACATGATAACTTTACACAAATAATCTCTATAAGGAGTGTTTACAACTGATCTGAAACAAATTTAAATATACGGTATAATGAAAATATAGTATATGTTTTAATTTAAAGGGGAAAACAACTTTCAAAGATATTAGACAAAAAGATACAGCTCACCACTGTGTACTGAAATTGCTGCTATTAACAGCGAGCGGACGTTGCTTACTGCTGCGGCTGCTTTGTAAGTTCCTTTGGTTACTGTGCCAGTTGCTGCCGCCACTTTCGCTACTCAAATGCTTTGTCTTCGTCGGCTGATAGTGATATTAATGATGTGGGGTGGTGCAATAGCAAGCTGTGATGGTAATTGTGGAAATTCTCCTAGCTGATGGCGAGTCGGCGTGGTCGGAAAGAAGTTGGACTGTGTCTTGTTGCAATAGCCAAAGAAGCCATCGGCAGTAGGTTATGCAGCAGCAGCAGTAGATGTCGTAGGTTCTTAGGCCGGTGAGCTCGATTGCGTTGGCTGTGATGAGGACAGTGAGAAAATCAGTTATTGCACATGTTGTGGTTGATGATTGAAGCTGTTGAGAGTGATAGTTTTGTTGCAGTTTCAACGGTTGAACTCCTTGCAACAGTAGGATGGAATTTCACAAGCTGATACGATAATCCTGTTAGCACACGGGTAACTGCTGGCTTTTTGGTGACATGGTAGGGAAGAAAACCGACTTCTTAGCGATTGCGAATATAGTTTTTTTTTTAAATAAACTGCTGAAAAAGGTTTAATCTAAAGTTCCAAACGAAAATATGTTGTTTTCAGCTCAAGAAAAATATTTAAAGTCAGTAATTTTTCTTTTTGATTTACAAACAGCAAACATCACTTAATTCTAAAATTTTATAATTACAAAGTTAAAAATGAACAAAGTGCAATAAAGCTATAAACCCTACATATAGTTAGTGTAATTCTTGGTTTTGTACTACTGCAGTAACCTTATTTGGGATTTTTATATTTTTAATAAAAAAAGCCCCTATTATGAGTTGCATTCGATCTTCGACTGTGGTCGAAAGTGCCGATCGAACGAATTTTTATTTGGCATTATGGCGCTCATTCGATCAAGAATAGCGCTTGCCGCCAAAAAGTAAGAAAACAAATGTAAAATCATACACTTCACAATTTTCTAACACTTCGCTACACCAACGAAAGCAAAATTCTGTTCGACAAAAAATTCGATACTCAACGAAAATTTCGAATGCAACTCATAATAAGGGCTACAATTTTTTTTAACGGCAACAAAATATTCAACAAACAACATAAACACTGGGCCCGAATCACGGCATCCAGGATCGAATGAAACACGATTCGAGTCGAATGAAATAAAATGACAGCTATACTCTCTGAAACACATTTTGATTTGAAAAATCGAGCTCACTACTAAATGCCGTAACCTCAAAAAAATTTTCGACTCGAATTTGATTCCATCGCGGATGTCGTAATTCAGGTCCTGTATTAATTCAAAAAAGGGCTCAAACAATTCAATTCAATGGAATCTCCACTTAAAATTTTTTTTACTTAAATTATATTTGAAATGCTTGAAGTTTACAGACCATTCGTTTCTCATCCTCAACAAAAGACGTGTTGCAAACGTATAATAATTATATAAACAGCTGATAGAGATGCAAATTGCACTTTTAAATTTGTTAAGGTCAGAGTTAACTTTTCATTTTTATTTTGAGTGTGTTCGATGACAAAATATGCATACATACACTGCGTTCATTTAAATTTCTTTGATTTGTTTCCGGAAAATATTGGTGGGTTTTTAGCCTATGTTGGTAAAAATGGTAGAAATTAAAATACAGCTAAAAAGTTGGTAGATCTACCAATAAAGTGGTGAAGTCCGTGTACTGGATGTAAGTAATGTCAACACTAACAGCCGGTGCGAACAGCCAGCAGCCCACAATCCCAAAACTCGTTTTAAAAGTGTTTTCGTTGTCGGTCAGAACATGGTATAAGCCCTCGATATTCATACATATTATAGATACGTACATACAGTGGTGGAAAAATAAATAGGGACGCGACAATTTAACAAGTTTTGCCCATTTTTCTTTTGTTTATTTAATATTTATAATTTTTCTATAAAAGTATAGCTCATTATCTAACAAAAACCATATTAATTCATATTTCAAACTTAGTGAAAAATTATAATAATTCTGCAAAGTTGCATGTTAATTTTCTACTTTTTGATCAGATTTTTCAGTTTTTTTTGGTATGCAATTTTATATATATATATATATATCAATATTAAACAAACAAAAGAAAAATAGGCTAAACTTGTTAAAATGTCGCGTGTCGCGTCCCTATTTATTTTTCCAACACTGTACATACACTCAGAAAAATATTCCTTGATGCTAAGAAAAAAGTATATTATTCTAAGGAAATATTAATATATATATATATAATATAATTAATATGAGTAAACGATTTGACTCAGTTTAAGGAAAACACAATTCCTTAGTTTTCAGTACTATTTTTTTCTAAGGAAAAATTAACTTGCCATGAAAGGAATAAGCTCTGGAGTGCTAGTCGAAAGATGCAAGGTTCGAGTCCCAGAACAGGCTATTTTTTTAAATATTTTTTTTTTTTTTTATTGTAATTTTTAAAATTGTATTAAAAAAAAAAGTCTCATCTATTATTTATGGTATTTGAGAATTTAGGTTTTTCCATATATGAAATTACTTTTACAATTTGTAATTGATATTTAAATCAAAATAATTGACTTACCTTACTCTAACCACCTCCAAGCGGACTCGAACCTGCGATCTCAGAAACGGAACCAGTAGCCTTCACGCGACGTCGCAGCTGACATTTGCAAGGAAAGCAATTATCTTCGTCTTAACAGCACTGGCAAAATTATTACTTATATTGAGTAAATTTACTTCCTCAAATTTTTAGCATGGACTTGAATTAAGGAAAAACTTCTCGAACTCAGTAAATTTCTCGTAATATTAAGGAAAAACAGTAACAGTAAATAGGGAAACTGGTTTCTGTTTTAAGGAAATTCTTTTTTTCTGAGTGTATGTAAATACTGTGTCAAAATTACAATCGCATTTAATTTTTTATTTAAAGATCACGGATGCAGCTTTGGCTGGTATTAATATTACTCAGTTAGAAGGAAAAAAACAGTAACTCTAAAATAGGGAAACTGGTTTCTTGTTTTAAGTAAATTCTTTTTTCTGAGTGTATGTAAATACTGGCCGAAATTACAATCGCAATTAATTTTTTATTTAAAGATCACGGATGCAGCTTTTACTGGTATTAATATTACACAGTTAGTTCGTGCGCCCAACTTACGCAACTCGCTTGATGGGATTCAGTCGTATTCAAATCTGGAAAATCGTGATTGCTTAAATAAATCCAATCAATTGTTTAAGATCTCATTGCGAAGCAAAGCGGAAGAGGAAATTGTTCGTGACGCCAATAGAAAAAAAGCGATGTTCGAAGCTTATGAGCTAAACTTGATTGAAGAATGTAGTACCGATGGCTATAATTTAAAGCATTTAAAAGGTCTCAAATCTTTAAACTTGAGTAGCTGCAATAAAATATCAGATGTGTCTTTAAAATATGGCATACAATTTCTTGAGTTGCGCCATTTATCGCTTTCTAATTGCCAACAAATTTCGCTTATTGGCGTTCAACAAATGGTGAAGGATTGTCCTTCCATAGAAATTCTTGATTTGTCGGACTGCGAAAGTATTAATGATAAAGCTATACAAATAATAACAAAAGCACTGACCAGACTCCGGATTCTACACATAAGTGGATGCAGCCAGTTAACTGATCACAGTTTGGACGCTATCTTAGTGAATTGCAAAAATTTACAGGTACTCATTTTATTTTGGTACATGTATATTTAATAATATCGACCCCTTTGCGCGAAATTATCGTGTGTGTCAATTATTGAGATTTACTTTTTGAAGCAAATTTGTTGTACACCCCACAACGCATCACTTAAAAAAATATTGTATCTGAAATCTCCAAAGTTACGCCAAAAATTGCCAGTATATTTTATAGAATGTTCCAATGCATTTCTTCTTGTTGGTATTTACTATTTCGTTTTTATTGCGAAACGGATTGCTCGCTTTATGTAGCCTTTTCGTCCCATGCCTCTATTCGCTTTACCGTGACTTATACGAAGATAGAAATTTTAAAGTTTTTGGATTCATATTTTTGAGATAAGCAGTTTAAGGGCAAGTTTTTCAGTGCACGGCCGTAGTTTAAACTCAGTGTATCTGGCTGGTTTAAACTAAGATCAGCCAATCAAATGTCAGCCAGCTGCTCAATTTAAACTCAGTTTACTTAATCTAAGTTTAAACTGGCACTGAAAAACTGGCAGTTAAGCGCTGGTCTCCAATGCAATCTCCATCATAGCTGTTAAAAATGATCGAAAAATATACATAAAAAAGGTTGATTTTGGTCAAAAATAAAAATCACAAAATAAATTTGACTGAAAAAAATTAAAAAATTTTTGATGTTGCAATAATCTTAAAAAAATCTTGGTATATAACGGTTATTTTCGGTCCCTAATATTTATATTATATAAATATAAATTTATATATGTACATGTAATATATGGATGTATATTTATATACATTTCTATTTATATTTACATATATTGCATAAATTATTTTTCCAAATGGCAACTTCTACCGTCAGAATTTAAAAAAACTTCTAAAAATGGCTTACTACCCATGCCCCGTGATGTGCTCACTTCAATGGTTCAAAGTAAACTGGTAGGACGAAATGGGTCGAACAAATCAGAAGAATAATAAAGTTTCAGTTGTGGAGCCAGGAATATGGAATTGCTCTTTCACAGTTACACGTTTTCTTTTAATGTCGAACCTTTTTTCCAAGCTTTCTTATACATACCTATCTACTATCAAACAACCAAAATTTGCTTTAATGAACGCAAAGTCTGTTCTGATTTTTTCAAGCTCTAGCAGTTTTTTTACTTGGCATATACATAGCTTCTGCAGATCCAGCGTTCAGTGTACATTGTGCACAAGGGTATTATAACTTTGCTCACATAACGGTTGCTTGTAACAGTCTAGAGGAATCGAGTTAGATATATAGAATATATGTATGTATAAAAAATTATCAGGATGAAAAAATAGAAATTGAAAAACTTAGTACGTGTACTTATTTTGAGCAAAGGACGGATTGAAAATGGGCATATCAAACGGGTAAAATTTTTTAAAATCGGACAAAAACTCGCCCAGATCCCATATAACGGCAACATAGAAAAACACGAAATATTCGATAAATCAGTAAATACTGAAGCGAATTGATGCTTACAATTAAACTTTAGCAAGAAATACGTTTATAGAAAGTTTTTGAAAAATAGGCGCGGCTGTTTTGCGTTGCATTTTTATGATTCTCCCTAGTTATGAATAAAAATATATGTATATTTTTTTAAAACAAACCTCTCTTTACAGGTCTATTCTGCGCTGGTAACAAACATTTTGTAACCTGACAATAAAGTTTTTACCGCCGAAGTTTTCCGGTTGATTTAATCTTATTTCTATTTTTGCCGCCCAGCGGCAACGGCACTTTGTTGATTTAGTGTTGATTGTAGTCTCTTCTTCTTTATTGGCGTTGTAACCGCCTAAGCGATTTTGACCGAGTCCAAAACAGCACGCCAGTCGTTTCTCTTCTGTGCCAACTGACGCCAATTGGAAATGCCAAGTGAATCCAAGTACTCCACCTGGTCTTTCCAACGCAGGCGAGGCCTTCCTCTTCCACTGTTACGAGCATCGCGACCCACGTTGAATGCTTTCAGAGCGGGAGCGCTTCTGTCCATTCGAACGACATAACCTAATTTAATTTAATTCGCCGCACTACGTCTCTGCCGTTGTAAAGCTCATATAGCTCATCGTTCAATCGTCTGCGGTATTCGCCATCGTTAACGCGCAAAGGCCCATAAATCTTGCGCAGAATATTTATCTCGAAATCTTCAAGAGTCGCTTCATCAGATATTTTCATTGTACATGCCTCCGCGCCATACACCAGCACAGGCTTGATAAGTGACTTATAGAGTGTGATTTTTGTACGACGAGAGAGGACTTTGCTTCTCAATTGCCTACTCGGTCCAAAGTAGCACTTGTTGGTAGGAGAGATTCTCCGTTGGATTTCAAGGATGACATTATTATTGGTGCTAATTTTGGTTCCCGAATAAACGAAATCGTCTACTTTTTCAAAGTTGTAACTGACAATACTGACGTGGGTGCCAAGACCCGTATGCTCTTGCCGTTTGTGTGATGACAGGAGATACTTCGTTTTGTCCTTGTTCACCATCAGACCCAGTCGCTTTGCTTCTCTATCTAATCCCGAGAAGGCAGAACAGACGTAACTTTTGTTTTTACCGATAATGTCGATGTCGTCGGCATACGCCAGCAATTGTAAGCTCTTAAAGTATTGTGCCAGAGCGATTCACTTCTGCGGCTCTTATTATCTTCTCCAACATCAGATTAAAGAAATCACACGAAAGGGAGTCCCCTTATCTGAAACCTCGTTTGGTATCAAACGGCTCGGAGAGGTCCTTCCCTATTCTGACGGAGCTGGTGGTATTGCTCAACGTCATTTTACACAGCTGTATTAGTTTCGCGAGGATACCAAATTCAGACATCGCGGCATAAAGACAACTTATGTTCGTGCTGTCGAAAGCGGCTTTGAAATCGACAAATAACGTGACGTGTGTGTATCCTTTCTCGCGGGTCTTTTCCAAGATTTGGTGCATTGTGATTACCTGATCTATGGGGGATTTTCCAGGACTAAAGCCACACTGATAAGGCCCAATCAGTTCGTTGGCGGTGGACTTCAGTCTTTAACACGATTGGGCAGAGACCACTTATCGGGCATGCGTTCATCTGACCAAATTCTGCATAAGAGTTGATGCATACACCTTATCAGCTCTTCGCCGCCGTACTTGAATAGCTCGGCTGGCAGGCCATCAACTCCAGCCGCTTTGTTGTATTTCAGCCGCGTAATCGCTATTCGCCCCTCGTCATAGTCAGGCGGTGGGACATCGACTACAGTCTCGGGTTCGTCTTATCCACTACTTTCAGCGCTGCTACCATTCAGTAGGAAAAGTGTTCACTCCATAATTTAAGCACAGTTTGGACATCGGTCCCTAGGACGCCATTGTTGTTCTTACGGGAGTTCGCCCCGGTCTTGAAACTTTCCGTAAGTCGCCTAACCTCCTGGTAAAATTTTCCGGTTGCAACCGATCGCAGCGTGGCCCTATAAGCGGCATATTTTTTCTCTGCAGCTTTTTGACACTCCTCATCGTACCAGTTGTTATTTCGAGCTGACTGAAATTCGACTACTTTTTCGGCGGCGGTACTTAATGAGCGGGAAATGTAGTTCCACTGCTCGCGTATGTCGGTTTGTTGAAAAGTGCTCTCAGAAAGCAGGTGTGAGAGTCGAGTGGCGAATCAATTGGCCGTCTGTTGTGATTGCAGCGTTTCGACGTTAAGCTTTCCTTGCATTGTTGGACGCACATTTTGTGCTGCACAGAGGCGGGTGTGTGCCTTCCATCTATCACAACATGATCGATTTTGTTTCTCGTTTTTTGATCTGGAGATAATTTACCGGTTACAAAACCACCGGAAACGTGCAGAATAGACCTGTTATTCACATTTTTACAAAATGTTCAACTGCAAGAAAAAGAAAACTAATAAACAAATGAAATCCAACAGCCGTTAGCTGCTTGGTTTATTTCCGATAGAAAAATCGATGTTATTGGTTTCTGTGCACCTAAAATCGACACTAATACCGATTCGCACATAAAAGCGATAACATCGGATTTCATGACACCAAAGTAATTTTTTTGTCGTTTTCAAATCCAACTCCGACAGCCCTGATTAGTTAGAAAACTGGTTTTCGTTTGGTAGGTTTTACATGGACGGAAACAAGTTTTAGGTCGAAAACCAGTTTTAGCAACGAAAACATGTTTTCTGGTTTTGTTTGCTTCCACTTACGTTAAGAGCTACAAATACATATGTTCCTAAAGTGAACTAAAAATTTTCTTTGATCTCTAATGGTTACTGTTTTATTTGATTGTCTATATGGCCCAAATCGCCGAAAACGAAACCAAGGGGAGACATTTTTTTTCTCAGGTTTCGCAGATTTTGGATTATATCTAGGTCATACATATTCTAAAGTATCGGACAACATCAATATTAACACGAATCTCAAAACATGAAAATTTACTTAATCTTGAGACACCTTTAAATAAAGGAAAATTAAAAAGGCACAACATGAAACTAAAGGGTAGTTTATACTTAAGGTCCACCACTTTTTTGCATTACACTTGCCTCTCTTCGCTTGCCTTGTATTATTTTGAAGTTAATAAAATAAGTATTCGACAAAAAAATCAGCGATTAGCTTTCTATATGGAAATCAAGTCGGCAGTATTTTTTAATGAAAGGTAACAGTCCAAAATATTAAGAAGTTTTTTTTTTTGGCGCGGAATCCACCAAGCTAAACAAAGGGAAAATATAGTTTTCTTCGAGCATTTTCGGCCTTATTTCACAGTAAAATATGTTTTCGGTTGAAAGCTACTTGTAACGTAACAGGCTTTTGAACTAATTTAATTTGCAGGTAACATTTTTTTCCTATTTAGTTAAAGATCGGGCTCATTTTACAAGCAACATTCGAAGCTATTCAACGTGTTATTGTCCCATAGTTAAAACTGTTATTTTTTCTAACTTATATAAACTGAGAAGATAAGAATTGCGCAGAAAAATAAAAAAACGCGAGAATTGTATTATTTCAAAAACGAACTCAAAAGAAGCGAAATAAGAAGTTAAAAGAAGAAGAATAT